GACTTTGAATAATTTGCACGCCGCACAGTGCAGTACTGGAAACAGCATTTATTAGACAGACAAAAAACAAAACAAAATGCCTGTCTCGATCAATCGCACATCCATAATGTTTGTATGTTGATACGCTTGTAAATAACATTAACGTAAAAGTCGAAACAACCTAGACTAGAAGTCAATTCACCAGTCCAGCCAGCTATGGCTCCCTAAGTTGCTTATATTTAATCAGATACTATTTCGTCATCATGCTTTGTTACCTTACCTGTTTATTCCTCATGAGGGCGTTTTTTTATGGCAAGATGGCGCAAACGGAAGTCCTTCGCAGGTTTATGGTTTCTCATATTTAAATCATCATAACTCTGAAGATAATCATTTTTTTTTAAAAAAAATACAAACACCAAAATAGGCTCTATTTAGTTCCCCTTTAACTTGTAGATACTTGATATATCACATATCAGCTTGTATAGATATGGAAGCTATCTGCCCTTAACTTGTAAATATATCACATATATAGATATGGAAGCTACCTGCCCTCAACTTGTAGATACTTGATATATCACATATCAGCTTGTATAGATATGGAAGCTACCTGCCCTTAACTTGTAGATATATTACATATATAGATATGGAAGCTACCTGCCCTTAACTTGTAGATACTTGATATATCACATATCAGCTTGTATAGATATGGAAGCTATCTGCCCTTAACTTGTAAATATATCACATATATAGATATGGAAGCTACCTGCCCTTAACTTGTAGATACTTGATATATCACATATCAGCTTATATAGATATGGAAGCTATCTGCCCTTAACTTGTAAATATATCACATATATAGATATGGAAGCTACTTGCCCTTAACTTGTAGATACTTGATATATCACATATCAGCTTATATAAATATGGAAGCTACCTGCCCTTAACTTGTAGATACTTGATATATCACATATCAGCTTATATATATATATGGAAGCTACCTGCCCTTAACTTGTAGATATATCACATATCAGCTTGTATAGATATGGAAGCTACCTGCCCTTAACTTGTAGATACTTGATATATCACATATCAGCTTGTATAGATATGGAAGCTACCTGCCCTTAACTTGTATCACATATCAGCTTATATAAATATGGAAGCTACCTGCCCTTAACTTGTAGATACTTGATATATCACATATCAGCTTGTATATATATATGGAAACTGCCTGCCCTTAACTTGTAGATACTTGATATATCGCATATCAGCTTGTATAGATATGGAAGCTACCTGCCCTTAACTTGTAGATACTTGATATATTGCATATCACTGAGCATAGGTATCAACGTTAAATGCCCTTAGGGACGTCGTCAAAAGATCGATGTCGGATAAGAAACTTAATTCCTTTTATTAAATTAGTTTTTTTCCAAACCCCCCTACCCCCCACTGAAACTTAATTGATAAATATTGGTCATGGCGTCAGACTATATTCACCATTAAATACAAATTGCTAATCGCATAGCAGTTGGTTGTCGGGTGGGTGTAAAAATATTTTTCAAATGCACCTCATTTGACGCACAGATTTACACTCGAACCAAACCATTTTTCTGTTTTTTTCCCTTTTCGGTTATTTCTGTCCATGATTGGATAGAAAAAAAACGAACTACAAATACTCCAAGATTGTTTTGACTTCATTAAAAAATATAATCGTTTTTGTAGGATGGAAACTTTTTGAGGTCAACCCCCCCCCCCCCACCCCCAAACTAAAAGAAATAAGTTTTTTTTCCCAACATTGATCTTTTGACGTCGTCCCTTATTATTGACAAAGTATTAGAAAATCTGTCTCTGTCATGTAGCAATCAAATGTAGTTTCACATCATAGACAAAGGACATTGTTAAAATACTTTTGTTTGACCTTCAGTGTTTACAGTATTCAATGCCCTTGGCCAAAACAAAATCATTTAGTTAATAATAAATGTTTGAATTGCTCTGTTATATTCACTTTTACAGCCTCCCTGATGAGAGTCCCATTGTTGTTGTTGGATGGAGAGGAAAGCAGTCTGTACGTTGCTTTGTATCCAAGGGTGATAGACACCACATACTCCGAATGTGTGGTGTAAATATCACATCAAAGAAACAACCTCAAATGAAAAGGGAACCTGCTAAAATGCCAGCAGATAAGAGTGATAAAAGTGATGCTGATGAACTGATGGAGGAAGATGTCAAAAGTAATGATGAAAAAGAAGATGATATTGGTAATGAGGACAGTGGTGTAAAAGATGAAGAGATTATCATTGAGAAAGACGATGAAAGTGAGGAGAAGATTGTAGAAAAAAAAGATGAAAGTGTAGCCTCTGAGGGTCATAGTAGTGAAATAGTGGAGTCCATTGATGATACGAAGGAGGACAATGATGAAATGAAAATAGATGAAACTCCTAAATCTGTTAGTGATGGAAATGGAAAAAAAGAAGTCTAAAGAAGTTAGCAACAAATAATCACTTTATAAGCTTTCTAAAACTTGTATGTCAGACTTTGGTACATTATGAGGTTATTAAAAGTGCATAATATGCAGTATTCTTTTGATATACATTTTTCAAACATTTGCGTTTTGTGACAGGATTATATTGGCATCACATACTGGTAGCACTCCTGCAACTAAAGTAAAACACATTCACACTTTTGAACACTTCCATACAGTGTTTTATGGATGGGTAAATTCTATTCTGATGTATAATAATGACGAATTAATTACTGAAAGTTTGATTTCCATGCTTTTGTAATTTTATTTTCTCCCAAAGTTGTATCTTTGTAAATGATATCAATCTAAAGAAGCATTTACCTTGGTATGTATATAGGTGCTTGGGCAATATCAACAATCCTGCTTAGATTTTTGTTCATACTTTCCAATTTTAATTATAATTCATAAATTTTTGCTTTTT